CACCAAAGACTAGCAAAATAACCAAATGTCTTTCATATGATGTAACTCCTCAATGGAATTCTACACAGTAATCAAAAGAAACAGCTATGATTCACAGAACCCCACTGCCTCATGCTGCTTGTTCTGCAGTTCTACCTTTCAGAAAAGATAACAATCATTTTCTACCCATCCATTAGGAAACACAAGCTTATTTTTTTTGGAGTGATGAAAATATTCTGTGAGATGTTCAGCAAAAATCACAGAGCTAAAAATAAAAGGAGTGAATGCTGAAGAGTATTCCCCCTTGTGACAAGAAGTGCCAACTGAGAACTTACCCTCCAGGGTGGACTGCAGTGGGCCAATCCTGCCCATCCTCCGGAACCGCCAAACATTTCTAGATGCAGGTACATAGAGCTGTGTGACCTGTGGGAATCAATTGCTGTCAGCACCTCCTTCTGCCACAGTACCACCTGGTGGCAAGTGAACAGACTCAAGGCCTACCCTTTTTTAAAGAGCTGACTGTCTATCCCTGTCCAGTCCAGGCTGCTTCTCCAGTTCTCATATTTTAGCCCTGAACACTTTAAAGTGAACCGTTGAGTGTCTGGGCAGAATAAATTACCATAATGATATAACTATGAAACAAAGCTTATCAGATTTAAAAAATAACAAATATACTTACCTACTTCCTCTAAAGTGTTTTTAATTTCCAATTAATTTGTTTGAATTAGTGTTCAAGCAAGATAAGCAGGTGTTTTCTCTTGTTTTTCTTTAATCTGTAAGTTTTTCTAACCCCTTAGTTTTGATCTTTGTAATTATTTTTTTCAGGAAGGTATAAGCTTTTGCTTATGGTCTGGATCGAACTCACTACTTGCAGAGGCACCTGAAGAGGCTTAGAGCAGCAGGCCCAATGTGGGAGGTGGCATGTTACACCCTTCCCCGAACTCACAAAAATAGGACACCCATTATCTGGAAGAAATGCACAACACAAAGACACCAATGCTATCTAGATAGCCTTAAGAGCGGCAAGTCAAATGTTTACTACTTCTTTCTAACAGTCTTCAGAATAACATGGTTCTTTTACACTCTATAAAGTTGATGGAGAAAGTCTTTAACACCACTGAATCTGTGGAGTTACTGTATGAGGCCAGTCCACGCAGCTATTTTCAAGGTTACTCACAGTCTCTAGGGCAGTGTTTATGTCTGGGAGGAAAGGCTCTTAGGAGTTCCTGACCTTTCTTCATTCCTCAGCAGCTTCTACTATGACAGGTCACTAAACTTCAAACCTAGAACTACCACCATGCTAAAGTCCTTTTCTGTAGGTGGAAAAAAATTCCTTAGAGTCACCTACTTGGGCCCTGGAGCTGTTCACTTTGCAAGATCTGACCATTTGCAGACTCTGCCAGTGGGTAGAGCCGGAGGCCTCAGCCTCAACTTGAAGATGTCTTGTCCCTGGGGATACAAGTACTACCTCCAATATCCTGCCACACTCGTTTTGGTTTCTTGCAGCACCGGTACTCCCGTTTTCCCTACATCTCCCCAATGTCTTAAACTCTCGAAGATTCTAAAATGCATCAGTGGTGACTTTCTCTGAGAGCACCCGATGCACACTTTTCCTTATCTTCTGGAAGATTCAATCTGCTTTAGGTTCCAAGCTTACTAATATTCTAATTGTTTCTGCCCCTTCAGACAACCTAGGATAAAGCCCATCTATTTTAACTAATGAATATACTTTTACTGGTAGTATTCTAAAAGTGAAATTGTTTCCAACTCCAATAGACAATTATTGGGCTTTAATCCAATCTGAGGAAATAAAAATACAATTAAGATAATGATTATCAGGATATTCTTGAGGCCAAGGCTGTTGCTACATATCTTGCCCTTTGACCAAGAGTTACTTAGCATTGCAGACAACATATATACCTACTCAAAAGTTAAGTGAGGAGTTAAAAACAATTTAAAAAGGCTTATACTCCCTAGAAATACAAAAGCTGAGAAACCATCTTTAATGAAACGTAATAGGGAGATTTTCTACTAACTTTATCTGCTTTGATATCCTCTTGTTCTGACAGCCAGTGGTTTGGAGGACAGAAATTTCTCCTAGTGTCTCTAGACTTCAGCATTTTCACTAGGTTGGTGATCACCTGAAAAGGGAGAAGAGGCCAGTGTCATACAACAACTCAGTGGCTAACACCTCACAGAGCAGGCAACACCACTAACCAGATGCCAGAAGACACTAGCACTGGTGCTTCTCCACCTGGTAAAGTGGGTGTGGACTTCCCCAGCTTACAAAAATTCTCCCTTCAGAGACCACAAGAACATACTGGAGGAACAAACCAGTTTTCTGCCAAAAGAAACAAAAAAAAAAAGCACACAGGTACACACACATAGTGTCTTTAAAAAGGAGGTCAGGTGACCCTGTCTTGAAAAAAAAAAAGTCAGTTCGCTACTTCTACCATGAGGGAGTCTGTGATTCACCAGATGGTGGTGGCACAGACCTTCAATCCCAGCCAGGGTGTACAGGCAAGCAGATATCTGTGAGCTCAAGGCCAGCTTGGTGTATTGAGCTAGTTTCAGGACAGTCAGGACTACACAGAGAAACCCTGTCTCAAAAAAACAAAACAAAACAAAAACAAGATGAGAAAATAACAAAAGAAGTCAGGGGACTGGAAAGATGGCTCAATGGTTAAGAATGACTCCCTTCTTTTGTAAAGGAGCTAACTATGTGGGTCCTAGGAACTGAACCTTGGTCCTTTGCAAGAGGAACAAGTGTCTATAACCACTGAGCCATCTCTCCAGGCCCTTGGCTAGATTTTCAACAAGACAGAACTCTGACAGTACAATAGCTCATCTGGGCTGATAAAAAGCTTATTCTGTCACTGTGTGAAATTTTTTTTTCTAGTTTTTTTTTTTGTTGTTGTTGTTGTTTTTTTTGAGAAATTCCACATGAGGAATAGCATCCTACTGAATCCCTATTTCCCACACACACACCTTGCCTGTGCCTCTGGAGCTGATAAATTTCCTATAATTTCTTATTTTTGTAATTTCCAAGATGACCATGCAACATCCCATCTATGTATGTCCTTTGCATGTTCCTGAAACAATAGCTCTGCTATGGGTAGGTATGCCATGAGCTCTTTGGGAAGAGAGCCAAACAAATTACCTGGGGACCTAGTATTTTCTAGCAACTAATCTGGGATCAAAAGTTATTTGATAAGATTAAAGAAACCTAGCAGTACTAACTAAAAATTATCTACTTTCTACATTGCATAGATGTACTTTGTAGAGCTGGCAAGATTACTCAATGAGTAAAGATGCTTACTACCAAGACTGACACACAGTTTAATTCCCTCGGAACCACATGATAAAGCAGAGAACCAACTTCTACAAGTTGTACTCTAACCTTCACATATGTGCTGTAGCATGTATAAATAAATACTTGTAAACACATTATCTATAAAATCCTCTAGTGCCAGTTTCATATAAATATGAAGCAATTTTAAATATATATATAAGCAGGAGAGACAGCTCAGAAGTTAAGAGTTCAGTTTCTACCATCCACACTGGTGGTAGACTCACAGCTGCCTATTACTCCAGCTCCAAGGGATTTAACACCTTCTTCTCAACTTCTGATGTAACCTACACTCACATGTACAAAACTCCAGACACATAATTTAAAAAATAAAATCGTAGAAAAGATGTAAATAGAAAAAGTTTGTCCAAAAATTTAGAAGGTAAAATTACCTTTTTAAAAGTGTATGTGCTCAGTTACAGATTATACATTAACAAATAATATTTTCACAAGATCCTTATGCTTGTAATGTTCTGGTTTTTATCTTGCCCACAGACTGACAAGCTCAGGAAAGTTTCCTACTAAGTTATTACCCAGCTATTGTATCATAACAACATATAGTACTACCATGTAATGAATATATCTATATAAACTGGATGACAAGACTTGGATGGAGATGACTAGTGAATGGATAGTTAGTCTATTTTGAAAAGCAACTGCAAGATGAAATTATAATCTAATAAATAAAACCAAAAAGCATAGCTAATTCTTTTATTTTCTTTTTGGTGACACTAAAGATTTAATCTAGAGCCTCATGCCTTCCAGACAAGGGCTTTCCCACTGAACTACATTCCCAGTTCTTCATACTTTTTTATTTTGAGACAGGGTCTCAGCAAGTTGCCTAAGTAGACCTTAAATCTCTTTATAGCCCAGGCGGCCACAAACTTGCAGTCATGCCTGGCCTGGCTGTGGCTAATTCTTAAAGGAGCTCCATACAAAGGACACTCAACAGCACAAGACTTCTAGGTACTAAACACGTGAAAGGAGAATTTTTTAAAAATCTGATTTTAAATGAAGAACATATTTAAAGAAATGTGAGAACAGTGGCATGCGGCTATAGGAGCATCCCCTGACAGAAGACATTCTCCTAATGGGAATAGAAAGAACACAGTGAGTCAACAACAAGCCCTCACTACAATGATACTGCCCAGGCCCAGGCTGAGTTCATCTGCCATTCCCTAGCACAGGGTAGTCAGCAGGGCAGTCAGCTTAAAGAATCAACAGTGAAAGCTTGGAAGTGTGAACTACTGTAAGTACATGTGAACCTGTTTTACACAGCTCTCAGCTATCACTTGTTAAAAATAGTATATTTTGAAAGACATGATTTTCTTCCATATCTGAATTACTACAAAATCATCTTCTTAAAGTATTCATTTCAGTTAGCCACAACAAGGTAAAAATAACAACAAACACCCAGCCAACTTTCAATAATAAGGAGAGAACACAGGTCTGCCATTCTGTGACTCCTGGTGAAAAGTGCCAGGACAATCAAGATTGCAGCCAGGACACTGTGATTGCATCCATTTACTTTGTTAAAAAGATGGGTTGTTGCTCCTCACCTCAGAGATCTGGAGCAGTCATACTGGCACAGCCATTGCCACGACTTTGGCTAGAGATCTATCACACCTTTCCTTGAAGAGGAAAAGAAAAAAGCAGCCCAAATTCTTATTTCATGGATGTGAAATGTCCAGGTTGCTGCAAGATTACTACAATTTTTAGCCATGCTCAGACAGTGGTTCTTTCTTTTAGGTTGTTCAACAGCATGTGCCAGGCCACAGGAGAAAAAGGCAGGCTCACAGAAGGCTATTCATTTAGAAAGCAACATTAATCTATTTAAATTCCTGAATTTGTTTTTCACAGAAACCTTATCAGGTTCAGTCAATCTACCAAGACAATGTAATTATGTTTGATTTTTATAAAGTATATAACAATAATCTATTTTGGCACCAGTTTTTCAATAAAGTTTCAATTATGGAAAAAATATTTGGGTTGTTGTCTTTTTTCTTTGGTACTGGGTAAAGGTTCTACTTACTACTAAGCTGCACCGTCATATCTGGGTAGCTTTTTAAAATGATTTTGAAATTAGTATAAATTATACATAAATCTGGGTTTTTAATTTATGACACTTTCATACATACACATAATATACTTCAAGTAATATTCATCTCTTCCTTAGTCTCTCTTGCCCCCATCCGTATCCAGTTCTCTTTCCTCATCCCTTGTACTTCCATGTGTTCTTGTGTGTGTGTGTGTGTGTGTGTGTGTGTGTTCCAGTAAGATTTGTAATACTTGTCACCTGGAGCACAGGTGAGAGTTTGTTTACAAAAATCATGAGCACCATACCAGTGACTATAATATTGAAAAAAAATTCTCTCCCTCTTTCATTAACTGCCTATCTTATCTTCTTTCAGGAGCCCTTCCCATTTCGGGGAAGACTATTGAAGGACCTAATATTGTGAAGACAAGTACAGCTCCTGTGAGTTCAAGAGTGCAGCAGCCCTGTCATGCCTGAAAGTCAGCATTCCATACCTATTCCCTTTCTCTAATTCTTGCATTCTTTCTAATCAGTCTTCTACTGTGTTCCATAGCCTTGGATATTATGGTGGTCTGAATGAAAATGGCACTATTAGGAGGTGTGGCCTTGGGAGTAAGTGTGGCTTTGCTGAAAGAAGTGTGTCATTCAGGGTAAGCATTGAGGTTTCAGGGTCCAGTATTACTCTCTTCCTGTTGTCTTTGTATGTGGATGTAGAACTTGCAGCTACTTCTCCAGCAATGTCTGCCTGCATGCTGCCATGCCTCCCACTATGCCAATAAACTGCAAATCAGCCCCCTGTTAAATGGTTTCCTTTGTAAGAGTTGCCATGGTCATAGTGTCTCTTCACAGCAATAGAAACACTAGCTAACACCAGGCATGGTGGCGCATGCCTTTAATCCTAGCACTCAGGGAGGCAAAGGCAGGAGGATCACTCTGAGTTTGAGGGCAGCCTGGTTTACAAAGGGAGTCCAGGATAGCCCTGGCTGCACAGAGAAACCCTGTCTTGAAAAACCATAAGAAAAAAAACAAAACAAAACAACAACAACAAAAACCTTAACTAAGACAGATATGCATGTCCCATTTATGGGTCATTTATTCTCAGTAATTTGCCCAGTTATGAGTCTCTGAAGTTGCTGAACACTGCAAAGAGAAGCTTTTCTGACAAAAACTAACAGCAGCAGTATTCTATAGGCATATATTTAGAAGGTAATGTGATAGGTACATTATGTTCAGTTAGCAAAGAACAGCAGTTTCCCCACTAAGGCATAGGACCTCCCTAGACATGAGCTTTTGACCAGGTCTACATTATGAGTCAGCAGGGAGGAAGCTGATAGCTAAGTTTTAACTTTGTGTTTCTATGTGCCTCGACCAAACTGGCCTTAGGTTTTTAGAGACTCCCTATATATTCCAGGTTGGCCTGGAACTCATTATTTTTCTGCCTCAGTCTCTTGAGAGCTGGGACATACCAGGTTTACCACCACATCCAGCAAATTTTTTCTTTCAAATGGAAAGTACAAACCAACAATCAAAAGAACAAGAATCATCTACCATAGCATACTCTACTCTCTATGAGGCAATGCCTCCCCGACACACTGCCTTTGATAAGGAAGGCCTATTAAATGTGGTAGCCAGATACAAAGACATACCAAGCAGGATTTACTGCCTCTTTACCGGGTTAAAGTAATTATAGCCATAAATTACACTTCAAAAAGAAGTTTATAAAGTTGATAAATGTATGATCTGTTTTAACAGCATTGATGCAGAACTTAGAAACCGACCTCACTTCCTACAGTGACAAGTAAAGATGACTTTAAGCACTTAAATTCTGTGTTCTGTGACCAGCCAACAGAGCTGCTCACACAAATTAATTCAAGAAGATCATCTTTGACTGAAAAATGAAAATGGTCTACATTGAAGTACAAAGCCCAGTCTCAGTGTTTGCAATTCTGTCAGTCAACAAAAGCCAGAAATCAATGGCAAATGCTTTTACCTCCTTTGGTTGGTTTTACTGTGAATGCTTCAACTTTAATTTGGTATTATACAAATAAATGGTGTTGACATTTTATTTGGATACTTTCAGAAAAACATGGCTGGTTTTGTATAGTAGTCAACACCTCTCACACAGAATCACTACCATATAAACAGACAGGTAATGCTTGCTTTTAGGAAAAAGTGACAACTCCCGATTGTTTGTGATATAAAAGTTATTTTCTCCTATAAGAATAGCTAATAGCAGTTGATCACTCATGGGTCATACTAGTTTCTATTATTTCTGGGACTCAACTCATAGCAGGTGGTATAAAATAGGCTGGGGACATGTCCTTTAAACAATTCTAATCTAAGGCCAAAGGTCTTTGTTAAAACACAATTTCAAATCTAAATCAATCCCATACTAAGGAAAGAGGGGGCGGGATTTTGGATGTATCTCAGTGGTAAGATGTTTACTTAGCATGTACAAAGCCCTGGGTTCAATCTTTCTCTTTCACGTACATACACATTAAGAAAGTAAGAATCATCTACCATAGCACACTCTGCTCTCCATGAGGCATAGATGTGCTTGCTTCCATGACACACTGCCTTTGATAAGGTCTATTAAATGTGGTAGCCAGATACAAAGGCATATCAAGCAGGATTTATTGCCTCCACACAGGGAAGGTGATTCAGACAGGGTCTTCCTTAATTCACCTTGAAATCACTATAGCCCAGGCTAGCCCCATGCTTGTAATCACTCTGCTTCTGCAACCTGAAAGCTGGGATTACTAGCATGCATCACTGCACTTGGTTCCACAAAATTTTTATTTAATGTTTAAGCAAAACAACATAGGGTCAGAGTGAAAAATATCTCATGTTATTAAATTCAGATATTCCTAAGCCCCAAAGATAAGATTGTCATATGAAATTATAAAACATCCACTAGGAACTGTAAAACAGTGAAGTTATCTTCCAGTGTACATAAAACCTGGTATCCCATGGAAGGTAAGTGTTACTAGCAACGCTCCCAGAGCTTAACTGCACACAGACAAGAAAATATACATGCTACCATATGGCCCAAATCCATGAACGCTTACATAAGCATTCCAAGTCTGAAGTAGATCAGATAGCTTGTTTGTAACCTAGAAGAGGTGCAAAATAGCACATCTCCCAGGAAGGGCTCAGTAGGCAACTTTTAAGGTTTACTTAGAAATGCAGAGAGAAGTGATTAAAATAAATTGTGCAAACATGTATTACATCAATCTGTACAAATTATGAATTCAATGATGCATTAGCCCTGTATTCACACAATCAAAACATTATCAGTTACTTTCACTGCTGCTAATGCTTATGCTTCTAAGTGAAATGTGTTGTAAAATCAGGCAGAATGGGCTGCAGAGAGACTCTCATGGACTTGTAGATGAATAAGCAGTCCTTAATTAGCCCATCAGGTTAAGTGCAAGCATTAATGGGTCTTTCCTAAAGTCTAGCCTGACATCTTTCTCCAAACATGGCCAAGAAGAAAGTTCCATTAGCAATATTAATACAAGCTTAGTTGATCATTTTCATTCAATTAACTTCTTTCAATTAAATAGATAGCTTGACAAAAGCAGTGATAAAAGACCTGAAGGGACAGCTGATGACTCTCATGGAACATTAGTGTTCGAGAGGTCACTGGTACTAACCGGCCTGTAAATCTAGCATTCAATTTGGAAGATGCATTTCTTCTGCTCTCACTCCTTTAATGAGCAATTTTAGCTGACTAGATGTGTTTGCAGCAGAAATTGCAAGGGGTCAGTCAAGCACCTTTTTCCTGCTCTTTTTTTCACCCCAAGTCACCCCATTCCTGCCAGCACTAGAGCCATGCTACTCGGTAACTTCTTTTTCTCCATGGTTAGGAATAAACATTCTAGAGTAATTTAAATACAACATGAATTAAAAACTAAGATTAATTCTACCTTTGATTATATCTTATAAAAGAAAAAATTTTAGCACCAAGATCTTTTATTAAAAATTAAAAGTGAAAACATTTAGAATTTTTTATTATTACTTCAGCTTGTCTAAGAAAGTCTTAAGACATTTTACATATGAATTAACTATGAAAGCAAGGTTTTGATTTTTCATCTAGCACGTGAAAGTTAGAAGACTTATGTTTGTGGGTCAGTTCTCTCCTTTCACTGTGTGTGATACAGGGCTCAGCTCTAGTCTCCAGGCTTGGTAGAAAGAACCTTTACCTCCTAAGCCATTTCATCAGCACAAAAGCAATGATTTAAAATGAAGCAGATATAAAATAAAATAACAATCAGGCTTTTCTTTAAAGGTTTTACAAATTAAAGTTATGCCTGAAACCAACCTCCACATTTCTATTCTTCTGAAAGGAACTAAACAGAAACAAGTTTGTGCTGGATTCATTCTCCACTATGCCACATACCTTGAACAACTGAACCCATCGCTTCTGTTCCATCTGTATGCACTGTTGCATCTCAGAATTAGTAGTGACCCCAATACTCTGAAATGCGGTGACATATTCTTCCCGAACTTCTGGCTTTGTTTCTGGATATGCTAGCTTGATGATCCCCAAGCAGGCATCCCGAAGGCAGCGAGACAGTAGGATTAACTCCTCCAGAGTAAAAGGCATCATGGATGATTGTCTCTGACCTACAACTAAAACAACCCAATGTTCCACCATTTTTTTAAAATCAATATACACATTATGACTTAAAGAAGAGAGTGAGTGAGAGAGAGAAAAAGAGACAGAGATAAAGAGAGAGAGGGAGAGCCTTTCAATCACCCATGAAAACTGACAGGCCATAAGGCTAGCA